CTTAACGAACGTTTTTATAGAACGGATGGTTTAAGAAACGCACGTTTTATTTAACGAGTGTTTCAAATAACGAATTTTTCACGTAACGAACGTTTTGTGTAAACAACGCTTTATTAAACCAAAATTTGATACAATGAACAAACATTTTCATAAGCATCATCTACTGAGTGTTTTATGTAAGTAATATTTCATGAAACGAAATTATTCCTTCTGAAAGTTTAAGGCTAATAACTTTTCCAAAAATACAAATCCTAATATATAAAAGCCCATGTGCGCATTTCTCTCTCTCTCTCTCTCTATCTTTCTGTCCGCAATATTTTTGGCAACGTCTAACGGGTACCGACGGCTAGTTTTAATATACCCTGCTTTCCAGTTAGTGTGGTGCTAAATTAACAAAAGTGCCTGGGTATGCCAGAAAGCCTAATGGTAAACCATTTTAGTAATTGTATTTATGCAAATGTAATTGAACCAAACACACTGTTTGTAAATATTTCACAAGGCTATTAGCAACATCGTTTCAACAATGATTTCCGTTTGTATTATTTATGAGGCGTTCTTTTTGTCTTGTAAATGTGACTGTGTAGGCGATTACGTTGGTAAAATGCGAATTATGTAATGATTAAATTGTTGGTTAAAATTGAAATTGTGTTGCGAATATAGCGTTGGAGAAATGTGAATAGTGTAGCGATTATAAGGTTGGTAAAATGCGAATTGTGTAAATACGATTACGTTCATAGAATACATCTTTGAACCATCAGTGATTTAATAGTAAATGAACATAAAGTAAATGTTCGTGGGTTAATCATGTCCAATTATTTCTTCAAGACAACGATGATTAATTAGTTCTTAAGTCAGCTATTGCTAATTAATCAGTTCTTAATTAAGTCAGCGATTGCAATTTTATTTTTAAATCAACTATGGCTTATTAATAATTTCTAAGTCTGCTAAGTTCTAATCGGTCTTTCATGAGGTAAGCCATGTTTTAATTTGTGCGTTCTTAAGTCAACCATATTTTAATTGGTATACTATTTTATTTTACGGTAAATAAATAATCGATAACCTAATCTTGTTCAGCAACTCAAACTTCGATATTTTTATTTTTCTCGCACACATATACAGACACACACACACACTATACAAACGCTAAGCAGTAGTTCTTTCATACTTTTTTTTCTCCGATTTGGAGGGAAGCACTTGAAACTTTCGGGGTTAGACTGGGGCAGAGGCGTATCGAGGGGGGGGGGTACGGACTGCACCGGGTGACACCATTTAGGTGGGTGACACCAAGGCAAAAAATAGCAAAATATATAGAGAAAAATGAGAGAAGGGGGGTCGCAAATCGAAAGTTTGATGGGGGGGGGTGCAAATGGAAAGTTTGAGGTGGGGTGCAAATGGAAAGTTGGAAGGGGGGGTGCAAATAGAAAGTTTGAGGGAGGTGCAAATCGAAAGTTTGAGGGGGGGGTGCAAATCGAAAATTTGAGGGGGTGCAAATCGAAAGATTGTCCCCGGGCACCGGGAAGGGTCGCTACGCCTCTGTTGCAATGATCGGTTGATTTTTTTTTCTGTGCTACGCATCTGGGGTTGGGGTGGTGACACCATTAAGTGCCGCACCGGGTGACACCCGACCTCGCTACGCCACTGGACTGGGGGAGGGGGCAACTGGTTAAAGTATACATTTTCTATATCAATTCCATTTCGTTAGTGTGTGTTAGACGCATTTGGTAAGAAAAAAAGGGGGGGGGGCGAAGAAAATCCTAAAAGAAACACTGAACCTTTTTCTCTTTCTCTCTCTCACACACACACACACACACAATCCTAATTGTCTAATAGCTCTCATAAAAAAAAACGTTAATACTGCCGCTCTATGTTGGATTACAACATGGTTTATATTCCGTTAGTTCACTGGTCTCAAACTATGGGTCGCGACCCCAGCGTCGACCCCAAAACAGGGTAACGGCAGATTTTTTTAGGGATCGCTAACTTATACCATAAACTGTTGTTTTGTTTAAAATATCGTATTCAAATGCCTTTTCTCCCATTGTATCCATTTTATAAAATATGGGGTCGGCTCTTTTTTGTTGTTATTGAGGTGATAAATCTTTTTCTTAAAATGTTTTCTTAAGAATTAATAGAATTTAATTGTTTTCTAATACATTTTAGCTCATTGAGTAGAAGTTTTTATTCACGCATTGGAGTGGAACTAATCGCTTATCACGACAGCTAAGTTTCAGTATATCAGAAACTTAGCATTTTCTAAGTAGGGGAAAAATGGGGGCTGGGCATTTCCACTTAAACACACTGTATACATCTATACACTTAAAATATTTATGCTGTATACATATCTCCACATTGTATACACCTACAGATTGTACACATATACACATTGTACACATTTAAACATTGTACACATCTACACACTGTACACATCTACACAGCGTACACACTGTAGAAAATGCGCATATTTCTACATTGATAACACAGTCATAATCTCCATGATAAAAGATACCAACTTTTACTTCCATTATTTGATTAACACTTCTCAACCAAAACAATAGAAGTATCCCAGACTTGCAACACTCAGCCTCAAAACGCTCCTTTTTTTCTAAGAGACATAGGTGTATCAAGCTTATTTAATTGTATTTTATTATATCTTTTAACATGCATTATCTTTAAATTGCTCAAAAATGTGTTACTTACCAAAGTATACATTCCTAGTTAAAGTAGAAATCCAAGATAATTTTTTAAAATTTTGATGAACTCTTTTTTACGGCTGGGTATTGTGAAATAGTTAGTGGGGGGGGGGGGATAAAAAACGTCATCCCAAACATGGTATTATGACAACACAGTGTTCCACTTGACACAGTCCTGTTGTTGTTACATGCGTGTTAGGCGACATATGTTCCTGGTAAACCATTATTTAAGGACGACATTGAGGCGTATGAATACACGTGAAACACAATACGGCTCAAACTTTGGCTCGGCAGCCAGACAAACTGGTCTACAACCCGTATATCTCTTGGGCGTCCGGAAAATATTTTGCTGACTTCATATGAGTGAAAAGATTAGCCTTTCGGTCAGGGGGCGTGCAGGCTATACCACGTTATGCCACGTTATGCCACGTTAGACCACGCTAGACCACGCTAGACCACGCTAGACCACGCTAGGCCACGCTAGACCACGCTAGACCACGCATCATGGTATCAGTTTCCTGACAACAATGTCTGATAATCATATCAGATGGTGTTTCAAGTGACTTCCGGGAAACAATTCCGGTCCGGAAATACTTTCGTCTAGATAAATAGATTACGTAATGTATACATTACATTCTTATGTATGTGTTACCTAAATGCGAATGCGTTCAGTACTTATCGCTTGTGTTAGTTAATAAAAAATGTGTTTGTGTAGCAGTGGGTGGGGCTAATAAAACTGTGACTTTGATTCCAGCCCGTGAACGTTGTGATAACCAAGTCAGTTGTTGATTTTTTTTAAATGTACTGATTTTGTTTTGGTTAGGGGTGGTTTAACGATGTTAAAAAACAATAGACGTGAAATGGTTAGTGGCATTAGAAGTGGGAATCAATGAACCGTGACCGTGGTACCAACTGAGACCAGACACACGCAGCTGACCCCGGATGAACACTGACCTTGGATGATTAACCTTGACCTTAAACTGAGCAGCACTGCCACCTGGTGCTTGAACCCTAATGAACCTCGCTGTCCCCTGGTGTTCGAACCCCAATGAACCTCACTGCCTCTTTGTTTCTGAACCCTAATGAACCTACTCTCCTCTGGTGTCTGAACCCCAATGAACCTAACTGCCACCTGGTGTCTGAACCCTACTGTAGTCTCAACAAACCCTGAAATCACCAGACCCTGTACCAAACTAAACTGAACCAAACAGTAAACCTGACACATCTGCCTGTTGTTAAAACTGACGGACAGATTTATTACATCTTGATCAACGTCACTGCCACTACGCGGATAATTAGAATTCATTTCATTAGTGAAATACTGCTGTGTGGCAAGATTAAAATGCTAAAATTAGAATCGTTAACAGATTAATGATTTTATGTGTTTTTTGTAGCTTGCCATTTTCGCCATAGTTTCACCTTAATAAATCTTAAACTTTAGTACAAGGGGCAACTACTCAATATAAGAGAGAGACAACACTTTTTTAATAAGTGAAATAAAATACTTTTTTTCTGGAAATTAAAATGTCAATAGTAAAATAACGATCATTTAATTTAAAGTCTATTTTTCTTGTTCATTCTGAATTATCATACTGAATGCAATTTCATTTAACAGAATAAAGTATTGCGTTTAAAAATGGTAAGTTCCAAATGGCCTGTTGAATACGACTTCAGACTGGTTTCCTTTTTGGATTTGTTTGTAAAGCCTTTGTCCAACCAAAAACAACATGCTAGGCAGCAGCTGTTTGATTTTTGGAGTAGTCTCCCCTATATGGGTTGCTATCCCCAACTATAGAGCCGTATCTGCCCAAAGTTGTAACTTGGTCTTTATTCTTTATCAGACTGTTTTCTTTGCTTTAATTAATTAATCCACAGATTCTACTTTCTGGATTTCGCTTAAGGTGTCTCGCATAAATTACTTCACTCTCCCTAAAGATTAGGGAAGGTTTAGAACTTTTTATATGTTGTTGTACGATTAAGAAGGGGGGGGGGGGGGGCAAAAGTGTAACTTAACACTTTTTGCATTTGTAAAAGCGAAGTTAAAACGATTTTGTTCAATTTTTTTAAATTTCTGCAACTTGTAATATAAATCTAAAAATAGACTCAATACACTTAACACTGATTTACCCAAGTTTACATTTGAGAAAGAAAAAGACGTTAAAAAATTGCGATATTTTATTTTATTTTCTTCGGAGAGGGATAGGCTCAAGCGTGTGGACAATAGATGGATGTTCTTCCTTTCGTGTAGGCAGAACTAAAACGGGGGGGGGGAGGGGGGTGTACAATTCGTCAAAAAAGGCGTGACGTCATTTATGTACGATCCTTAGGTAGAATGGTATATTTACTCTCCACTTTCGTCATGGATTCGTATCTCGTAGATGGATCCTTTTCTGTGAAGTTCAACGGTTCTTTCTCTGGGTCGTTCAACGGGTCTTTCTCTCGGTCGTTCTCTTTGTCCATCTTTATACTGGTTATATATAAAAAGATATGATATAACGGTGTAACAGCATGGTAAAGCTTTGATAGTAATACAGGAAAACCCTAAAACGCGTTATACACTCTTGTTTCTGTATGACGTCCAAGAGCCCACCCAGCTTTGATCGGTACCTGGCACTAGTTCGGGAAAGTATAATCGGTTGAGTATACTATCGACGGCATTACTCCTTCATGTTCGGGGGTTTAAAAAAAACAGAGGAACTCTACCTCATCTGCTCTTCTTCGGGTCAGAAATGGTAATAATAGTCACACGTGTGAAGTTTATTTAAGATTTGGTGGTAATTTGATTAGTACACAGAAAAAATATGTAAAGTATTACAGTTACCCTTCAAAGTCGTCTAGATACCTCATCACATCTAGATATGATCAGTCTCACTTCTACCTCCCCCCCCCCAAGAAGGGATTTAAGTTATCATACCTACAACCCCCCCCCTCCTCACACCAAAGTCTAGACACACTGCCACACCCAGGGGCGTAGCGAGGGGGGGCGGGGGTGCGGACCGCACCGGGTGACACCATTTAGGGGGGTGACACCAAGGCAAAAAAATAGCAAAATATATAGAGAAAAACTTGAGGGGGGGTGCAAATCGAAAGTTTAAGGGGGGGGGGGGTGCAAATCGAAAGTTTGAGGGGGAGGGGTGCAAATCGAAAACTTGAAAGTTTGTCCCCGGGAAGGGTCGCAACGCCTCTGGGGGGTGACACCATTAAGTGCCGCACCGGGTGACACCCGAAGTCGCTACGCCACTGGCCACACCTACCCGCCAAAGTCTAGAAACTTAATGCCACACCTACCCGCCAAAGTCTAGAAACTTAATGCCACACCTACCCGCCTAAGTCTAGACACACTGCCACACCTACCCGCCAAAGTCTAGACACAGAGCCACACCTACCCGCCAAAGTCTAGACACACTGCCACACCTACCCGCCAAAGTCTAGAAACTTAATGCCACACCTACCCGCCAAATTCTAGACACACTGCCACACCTACCCGCCAAAGTCTAACGCCTCCTGTATGGTCTCCGGCAGCGTCTGGTTCAACGTCTCCGGCAGCGTCAGGGCGAGAACGCCAGACAAAAGGCCGCTGGCGCCAAACACGATGAAGGGTAGACTCGATCCAAAGGACCCGCCCACCAGGACGCCCTAGGGTGGGGCATAAAGTAGACACGTCTTGGTCTGAGTGCAGTAGGATTTGGGCTGGGCTTCTGATCAGTATGGGGTTAGAGATAGGTTAGCGTCAGAGCTATGGCTAGGCTAGAAAATATTGTACATCCTTAATCGTTGTTAGATTACTGCTGATGGGTTGTTGTTTTTTATTCGCACGGTATGGCTTTATACAAGTTTTTTTCTTTGGACTTGCTTCCTCACTCTGTCGTCAGTCTGTCGTGCTTCTGCCATCAAAGATCAAAACGGGCGAGCGAAATTTCGAGCACTTATAAATGACCGATTCGTTCCAAAGTTGGCACGTGGGTCAAGGGTTGAAGACCATGCAATATATCACAAAATTTGATATAATTAGATGATTAATTGATGATTTATGAATTAATTCAAATTTTCTGAAATTAGTAGGTCGTCCTACTACTACTATTTCTGCACTACTATACTCGAATTGCTTAAAAAATTAATAAATAAGTTTTAATGACAAGTTTTTATGTAATAATGCACTACAAAAGAGAAAATAAATGATTTTCTTTAAAAATATAATAATATACAACTATTTAAATAACTATAAAGAAAAGCGTGGGTCTCTTCCTAAATATTAGTAAGGTATCCAATAGATAATATAGTGACCCACGATTTTCTTTATAGTATTTTTAAATACTAGTTTAGTATTATATATTTAAATAAAATCGTATGTTTTCTTCTTTTTAGTGCATTATTACATAAAAGATTGTTATTAAAACGTTTTAAAGTGTTTTTTTTTTAATTTATGGTTAGGGCTATGATTCTAATTAGCATGATCTTCGAGTTTTTTAGTTGGATTAACTTTAGGAATAGGTTAGGGCTGTGGTCAGTGTAGAGTTAAGGCTTTCGTTGATTTGGTTACTGTTAAGGTTAAGGGTTAGGGCAATACAGTATAAAAAAGAAAAATAATCTTTAATAAGGACCGATTGGCTAACACGGCATGTGCCACAACAAAGTATGTCTAAATATTATACTACATCTAAAGATTTTCACCTAACTTGTTTATTTGCTGTGCTTACAAATATTGTGTTTTAGTGGAGTAAGGGGTGATCACCGCGTTCAGATTTGTATTTTTACCAAATTGCTGCCTGTTAAAGGGGGATAACCATTAAAATCGAGTATAGTGTTCAAAGAAAGTACTAAACGGGGCAAAAACAATGTTAAATTGTTATTTACTGCAAAAAAGGGAGCCAACAATATTAATTAGATTTATGTCCGCGGAAAAGAGGGATAGTAATTTTTAAAATTTCCCAAACCAACGTAAAGGGTGATAACTATTAAATCCTATACCTAATCAACAATATAAGGAGCAATAACAATTACATTATTTAAACAATCAGCGATGTCAAGGGCAATATTAATAAAATAATCTACCAAATCAGCAATGTAAGGGGCGATAATAATTTAATATTTTACCAAATCAGCGATGTAAGGGGTGATAATAATTTAATATTTTACCAAATCAGCGATGTAAGGGGCGATAATAATTTAATATTTTACCAAATCAGCGATGTAAGGGGCGATAATAATTTAATATTTTACCAAATCAGCGATGTAATGTGCGATAATAATTTAATATTTTACCAAATCAGCTACGTAAGGGGCGATAATAATTTAATATTTTACCAAATCAGCGATGTAAGGGGCGATCATCCCGCCGACCCTGCCAATCATGGAGCTTGTTCCCATGACGCTGTTTCTTATAGGCGTGGGGAATAACTCTGCCGAGAAGACGAAGATGGTTGTGTAGCTCCCAGAGGCCCCCAATTTGCCGATATTAGACAGGAGAAGGCTGATCCACTCGTCTAGATTAGAAGTGGTATGGGTTAGTCGTTGGGTTAGTGTGATCAATGGTAGCATCAATATTAGACATAAAGCGTTATTTCAACGATGTTGGTAGGCTTAAAGTGAAGAGTATGGGTTAGTTACTGGGTTAGTTATGTATGCTTAAAGATTCTATAGTTGTGTTGAAGAGAATAACTGTGTCGGCCTACTAATTATATTTTTTAATGAATTTGTTTAGAGTATTTAAAAAAATAAATTAATCATAAAGCAAATGCTAAGTTATCTAATTTATGAAGCTTTACGTTAATTTATATAATGACCAGATAATTATATTTGCAGACGTCAAGTTTTTAAGAAAATGAATTTGTTTCGAATAACGTTGAAAAATAACATTAAGAATTTTTGTTGTAAATTAGCTAAATGAAATTGTTGAAAATACCAAAAAAAATTGTTGTAAAATTTCTTAAAGTTTTGATAAAAAAATATTTGGCGGCTATGTTATAGAATAAAGGACAGTAAAATTATAAATTATCTAACAAAAACGTTATAAATTATCTTTGACTTACCTTTGACCTCCAGAAAAACTGGGACGACGAAACTGAGACAGGCGAGGCTACCCACAATAATTGAGAAGCAGTAGAAGCGCTTGCGGCCCCACCGGGGTAGGGCGAAGCTGGCGGCGGCGTACCCCAGGGCCTCCACCCCCGTGGAGACGGCGAAGTTGAGGTAGATGTCGCCCCCCAAGGAGCCGACGTTCAGCGTGATGCCGTAGTAGAGTAGCGTGACCACTGCCCTGTGGGGGGGGGGGGGGGGGGGGGTAAGTGTGGGTGTCAGTGTGTGTGTGTGTTAATGTGGGTGTATGTGTGTAAGTGTGTGTGTTGTGGGTGTGTGCATGTGTGCATGATAGTGTATGTATGTGTGTGTTTAGAGAGGATGATAAAGCTGCTTTAGACAAACGACAGCTAACTCGTAGTTTGGTGATTTAGTGTTACAAGTCAGGGGGAGGGGGGGGTTGCAGACCACATCGGGAAACTACATTTGGGGTGGGTGTGGGAGATGGAGGGGGCGACACCTAGCTGTTGCCCAACAAAAAACAACATTCATTTTGAGAGTCTTTGGGGAGTTAACCCTTTGCCCCCTACGCCACTGATCTTGATACATGTTTCTAGACATTATTAAAACAATTTTTTATCAATTAAAATAATTAAGTAATCGGAGGAGTGGTAAAAAAAAAATTTTGTGGGGGCTCTATGCACCCCAACCAAGGAAAAACTATATGGGGCACACGCAGATCACTCGCAGGTTGGCATCCAACTTAGTGACGTCACTGGGTGGATGGTTGCATTCAGTGGCGTAGCCAGGATCGTCTCAAGTGGAGGGTTCCAATTTTTACCCGGGGACAAACTTTCGATTTGCACCCCCCCCCCCTCAAACTTTCGATTTACATCCCCCCTCATACTTTATATATCTATACCGAGGGGTCTATGGGGGGGAAGGGGTATGACCCCCCCCCCCCTAACCCCCCCACCCCTGCCTACGCCACTGGTTGCATTAAGTAGAGATGTTGTAGAACCCACACATTTTTAAACCACTCATCAAGTGACCTAGTAACTATAAGGATGATTTCACACGACGTACCAAACTATAAGGATAACATCAAGGGGCCTAACAAACTACATGGATAACTCTACTTGACCTACCAATTGATAGAGATGACAATGGCCCTCAGTACCAACACCGAATGTGAGCACATGTCCAGTAGTCGCCCCTGCTGTTTCGGCACGTCCCGGACGTCTCCGATATCTTCCGGTAACTTGGTCTGATTGACCTGAGCAATTTTCTCGAGGATAACTCGGGCCTCGGTTATCCTCCCTTTGCTGATCAACCATCGGGGCGACTCGGGAAACATCCTACAAGGGGAGAGAATCAAAATTTGTTTTCCATTTTAATGTTATTACATTCGTACCCAACATAAGTATGCCACGCCTCTCAAAATAACTTCTGCTTCATTGACAGCTGATCGTTTCCAAGTTTCTACCTACTTTCTTCTTTCCTTGGGGATTCTAACCTAGATCCTGTCTGGTGATGTTGCTAGTTGGTTTAATCTAGCCCCCATTCGAGCAATTTATATTTCCTTGCCTATAGGATCTTGCCCAGTTTTTTCTCCTCTGTTCGGCATTGGTAATTTTTCCAGCCACCTGATGTTCAATATGCAGCTACGGCCGCCGTTAATGAAAGTCTGAAGTTTGTTGTTTTCAGTTTGTGTTACTCTCCGCGTCTCAGTACAATAGAGCAGACAGATTTCACATAGCTGTTAAACATTCGTGTTTTGGACAGCGTAGACTGTGCTCTTGACGTCCAGGTTGTGTTGAGACAACAGAAGGACAGACGGACAGACAGACAGAGAGAGAGAGACAAACAGACAGACGGACGGACGGGCTGTTGGTCAGGATGACAGACAGACAGACCGACCGACAGACCGATAGAAAGACAGACCGACAGACAGAAAGACAGACAGACAGGCAGACAGGCAGACAGACAGACAGACAGACAGACAGACAGACAGACAGACAGACAGACAGACAGACAGACAGACAGACAGACAGACAGACAGACAGACAGACAGACAGACAGACAGACAGACAGACAGACAGACAGACAGACAGACAGACAGACAGACAGACAGACAGACAGACAGACAGACAGACAGACAGACAGACAGACAGACAGACAGACAGACAGACAGACAGACAGACAGACAGACAGACAGACAGACAGACAGACAGACAGACAGACAGACAGACAGACAGACAGACAGACAGACAGACAGACAGACAGACAGACAGACAGACAGACAGATAGACGGACAGACGGACAGACGGACAGACGGACAGATGGACGGATAGACGGACAGACGAACAGACGGACAGACATTGTGATTTGAGTAAACGTTTATGTCTACCCATGTCCATCAAGGAATCAGCAGTAAAAAAAAAAATACCCACCACCATAGAGGAAACAGCAACACCGAACAGCAGGACAGCACCAACTCCAGGATCATCCAGTCACGGATGAAGTAGGCTGCAGCGCCTAGCACCAACTGACCCAGGCAGAAGAAGTAGGAGATGACCACCCCACATTGGGTCCTGTAGCGTCGGCCAACAAGCTCCATGGCTGCAAGTGTACAACAAAAATTCCAAGTGTAAAACAAAATTTTAAGGTAATTTTTTGAGGTAATATCCATATCAACACCGTAGCGAAGCGTGTTGCGCGGTAAACTCTGTGGATACCGACACTCGCGAGCAGCGCGATGCGCTATAAAATATCCACCCCAATGCGGGGACTCCCATCCGCGAGCAGTACGGTGAACTCTGAGGTAATTTCCTTATCCACACCGTAGCGAAGCACGAGTATAAACGTTTGTATTTAGTTTTGTTCTGTTCGAAAGTTGGCACTTTTAAAAAAGGATTCTCCGTGTCAAAGCACGGGTATGGAGCTCGAGAGAGTGTGTCAGTCATTCCGTCATCACTATAGATTTTGGATTCATAAGCAGTCGTGCTTTTTACTTGCATCGCATTGTCTTATTGAAATTGATAGAGTATGATTTGTTTATATAACGACTTAAATTTATTTTATTGTTTGCCACTGTTTTTACTCTTTTGCATAACGTAAAGAAAATAAAAAATACACTCACATTGCTAATACATATAAACGATTAAAATGTCAAATAACATTTTCGTTTAGATTCCTAGAAAAAAGGATACATTTTAATAATAATAGGGTAAAAAAAAAAGAATTAATTAAATCGTTTTCAAGGGAGGTAATTTAAAAATAAATTCAACTCACGCTAATACAAAAAAAATTGCAAAGTCTGCGGACCTCTAAGCAGGAATTATTGTTGCAATAATATAATTAGCAAAATGTGAACGCAAATTATGCGGATGTGTAGGAGGGCATTATTGTTAGAATATTATAATTAGCATGGCAATCTTTTATTTATTATATTCAATGAACGTACTGTTTACTAATTATAATTTTTTAATCAACAATATACAGCACTATTATAGACGCGTCATCACGTTCATTAGGTGCGCAATGGTTTTAGTCATGAAACTATTGAAAAGAAATGCATGAATTGATAAAGTGCAATATGGTAGGTAAAACACGGATATTTTAAATACTGCCTTTTATTTATTTTATACACTGAACGTACTGTTTACTAATTACTATTTTATCTTTCGGTTTACGGACAATCTGGGGGTTTTATAGTCGTTCACTGAATCAGGCGCGTCCGCCGGTGCTCGGGGAGGGTGCGATTTAGCGCCACGGGCTAGACTGTGAGCACTATGCCTTTATTTTTGCATTTAAATTGTGTTTATGTTATGAGTGTTCTGTTTATGCTTTCATTTGTGTTTTTATTTGCGTTTGGTTTTTCTTTTGTGTTAATGTGTTGCGTTTGTGTTTTTGTTAGTATTTGCAATGTGTTTGTTTACATTGTGAATATGTTTTCTTTTGTGTTTCTGTTTTCTTTTGTGTTTGTGTTGTGTTTATGTTTTCTTTGTGTTGTGTTATATTTTGGATTTGTGTTTTCTTTTGGGTTTGTTTTTTCTTTTTTGTTTGTGTTGTGTTTGTGTTGTGTTTATGTTTTCTTTTGTGTTTGTGTTGTGTTTGTGTTGTGTTTGTGTTGTGTTTGTGTTGTGTTTGTGTTGTGTTTGTGTTGTGTTTGTGTTGTGTTTGTGTTGTATTTGTGTTGTGTTTGTGTTGTGTTTGTGTTGTGTTTGTGTTGTGATTGTGTTTGTGTTGTGTTGTGTTTGTGTTGTGTTTGTGTTGTATTTGTGTTGTATTTTTGTGTGTTTGTGTTGTTTTTGTTTTGGGTTTGTGTTATGTTTAGTTTTGTTCTGTTCCCAAGGTGGTACATATAAAAAAGATTTACCGTGGCGGAGCACGGGTATGCAGCTAATATATATATATATATATATATATATATATATATATATATATATATATATATATATATATATATATATATATATATATATATATATATATGAGCCGCTATTTAGTTGTTTTATTTTCTACTTTTTAGTAATTCATAATTTATAATTTGTGAGGGAGGAGGTGGGATGAGGGTTAGATAGTTGGCTTTCTGCGTCGTTGTGTTCATGAAGAGAATTATATATATGGATAGACAGATATGTATATATATGCAGTTCTACAGTGCAACTTTTAAATACCTACCTAAAACAAAAGCACATATAAATAGCCCTATATCACTGATCCCAGTGAAGAACCGAAGTACACCGAAACAGACGAAGTTGGGGCAGAAGGCGGTGGCGACGGCTGCTAACGTGTTGATGAACAAAGACAGAAATATCAAAGGCTTCCGTCCGTATCTGAAAAGTTAAATCAGTTTAATCAAACAGCAAATCTATTCTCTTCACCCTTCTTATAAATTGCTCTAATAACAATAACACATGATGTGTAATGTATTCCTAAACTGTATCAAAATCGTTTAAAAAAACAATCTAATGATGTACAATATGGGGACGTGTGGTTAGATGGTAGAGCATTTGGCTGTTAGCCCGAAAGTTGCGAGTTCGGATCTCGGTTCGGACTTGTGACTGTAGAATGTTCCTGAGTCCACCCAGTTGCGATGGGTATCTAACATACGTAGGGAAAGTTAAGACGGCTGGGCATAGTGCTGACTACACTATCCCTTCAATCGCCGAGGTCAAGAAACATGAAATCTACTTCATCTGTCCAATAAATCGCTAGGTCTAAAGAGGAATTCTACTACTTTTAATAAATGGTGTGCTCAACAAGTAAGCAATGGTTCGGAATCTAAAAGAGCTAAGAGTTTTAGTTTCCTTATTAAAATTTAGTAATATGTACATTGCTCATTATTAAATAATGTCCCTTTCCTGAATTTGAATAAAGTTGCTTCCCCTTACTTGTCGGCAAGAATGCCGGACACTGGTGAACCGACCAGCACTCCCCCCATGTAGATCATGTTGGCGTGCGATCTTAGACTCCTGTCGCTACACACTAGATTTTCCTAAAAAATTTAATTGAAAATAGATTTTTAAAAATTGTAAAACCTTTAAGTACCACAGGGAATAAAAAATTAAATTTGAAAACTGTTCCTGAAATACCGTGAAATACATGGCGTCACGCTTTTTGGACGATTTAACCCCCCCCCCTCCCCGACTCTCCCCCCCCCCCCCCCCGTCACACATCGCCATAACAACAAAGAGCCAGACCCGCCTCAACTCCCATCCCCCCCACCTAAAATGATGTCACACCTCCGCCTACACCACCCCCCCCCCCCTTAGAATTGCAGTTTATTTTATCTTTTAAACATTGATTTCTTTCTAAAATATTTACATAGAGTTTATTCATAGATTTCCATTACAATTTACAAAAAAACAGTTTTCAAAAACGCGATAATTCCGTTTCTAGCAATACTCTTTTTAATGCAAAAGTGCGACGTCACACTATCTGCAAAGCCGGCGTTAGGGGGTGGCGAACGGGGCGGTCGCCATAGGCCCCGCGCTTGAAGGGGCCCCGCGCTTCAGCAATGTCATTGTTATCTGAATTAGTTTGTAAACTTAAAAAAAATTGTTGCTGAATTCAATTGGGAAAAACTAAATGGTCGAATGCCGACGTTGTTGATTGTTATAACTGAGGCCACGGTTGATGTTGGTGAGTCCCACCTGAACTGGGACAGGCCGTAATTCGATACAAAAATAGTGTCACACTGGTGTCGCGCTTAGCCACTACCCGAAGAATTGCATTAAAGAAATTGCAAGAAAACCACTTTTTAGATTAGACACATTAATTAGGCGGTAATTTTATTATAGAGTATCGATGAAGAAATTTTTTTTTGAGTTGGGGAAGGGGGGGGGGGGGGGCTCAGACGTTCTTACGCGGAGGGTGGGGCTTCGCCCCTACCCGAAGAATTGTATGCAAGAAACTCTTCACGCAAACCATTTAGATTAGACAAAATTTCCTTTTTATTCAATGTTTACTCGAGAATCAATGACGTCATATTACTGTGTGCACTCTCCGGTTTGAGATTATTTTCTACTCTAAGCTAAATGTGACCGCGTCATACTTCGTTTTTCGAATTACTATGCATGTTTTTAATTTTCTTGTGTTTTCTCTAGAGCGTTCTTGTCAGACAGATAGATACATAGATAGATAGATAGATAGATACATAGACAGACAGCGAAACTATTAGTATTAATAGACGAGAAAAATGGCCCGTTGAGGAAGGATACAACGGGCGCTAGGGTGATAGTGCTGTCTCTTTTCTCTAAACTAAAACCACTCCACCCCCCCCCCCCCACACCACCCCCCACCCCCACCCCCCCACACCCCCCTCCCCCCCACCCCACACACACCACCCCTCCCCTCCCCCCACCCCCCACCCCCACACCCCACCCCCCCACCCCCACCCCCCAAAAAAACATGTCTACCGTCCCATTCAACGAAATATAATTATATACTTTTTCCAGTGTCCGCCCCCTCCCCGAAAATTCTACTCCCGCCCCCGAAAATTTCAAGTACCCCCCACCCCTCTCCGGGGAGGAAAAAGTCTGAAAGAAACACTGGTGTCGCGCTTAGCCACTACCCGAAGAATTGCATTAAAGAAATTGCAAGAAAACCACTTTTTAGATTAGACACATTAATTAGGCGGTAATTTTATTATAGAGTATCGATGAAGAAATTTCTTTTGAGTTAGGGAGGGGGGGGGGGGGGGGCTCAGACGTTTAGATTAGACAAAATTGCCTTTTTATTCAATGTTTACTCGAGAATCAATGACGTCATATTACTGTGTGCACTCTCCGGCTTGAGAATGTTTTAATGTTTTCTACTATATGACGTCATATTTCGTTTTCGTTTCACTGTGAGAATTTTTAATTTCCTTGTGTTTTCTCTAGAGCGTTCTTGTCAGACAGATAGATAGATAGATACACAGATAGATACATAGATACAAACAGCGAAACTATTAGTATTTATATATATATATATATATATATATATATATATATATATATATATATATATATATATATATATATATATATATATATAATGGAAAGGCCCCGCGCGGATGGTTGGCCCTAGGCCCCGCGTATTCCTAACGCCGGCTCTGACTATCTGAACCCTTACCCTCCCCCTCATCACACATCGTAACAAAATTACGCCGACTCTCTAACACTCCTCCCGCCCCCTCCCTCTCTTTCCAGTCAAGCGCAACGGTGTGTACCCACCCTCCCCATTTTGGCCTACTGTGTCTTTCAGGAAGTCTTCACCCGTATATTTTAATTAACATAATAAATAACAAAAAAATAACAAAACACGAACTAAATTTTAAAAATAACAAAAAACGTATAAAGAATTGAATGTTTTTAATTGGGTCAAGTCTAATTTTTAACCACGATCTAGCTAGTATAAGAAATATAAACTTGACACTAACAAAAACAACCAAAACTAACCTGGGTGACAAAAGTAGAATGAAACACAGACTTGTCATACACCCATCGATGACACTCCTCTGTTGTATTGGCTGAGTGGTGAGTTGAATTCAATTCTGTACTTGAAGAACAAGTTGTGAATATTAACATTTTGACAAAAATTAACTTGAATAACAAGTTTAAGAAGATAGATTATAAACACGGATATAATCGTCATCGAAAAATATTCAGAATATAAACACTTTTATTTCAAGGTCACTGAAAAAAAGTTTAGAATATATACGTATTGTCATAAACAATTTGACGTGAATTACTATTAATACTATTATAACATAGAACAACACCTTCAGGAACAAACTTCATGGAAAATGTGTGTAGGCCTATATACAGGGGCGTAGCGAGGGGGGGGCGGGGGGTGCGGACCGCACCGGGTGACACCATTTAGGGGGGTGACACCAAGGCAAAAAATAGCAAAATATATAGAGAAAAACTTGAGGGGGGGTGCAAATCGAAAGTTTGAGGGGGGGGGGGGTGCTAATCAAAAACTTGAGAGGGGGGGGGGGGGAACAAATCGAAAGTTTGAGGGGGGGGGGGTGCAAATCGAAAACATGAAAGTTTGTCCCCGGGAAGGATCGCAACGCCTCTGGGGGAGGGAGGGGGGTGACACCATTAAGTGCCGCACCGGGTGACACCCGACCTCGCTACGCCACTGCCTATATAGTTCTAAGATCGAGAAAAAATATACCAGCTGTATTATACTTAAAGAAGAGATTAGAATTTAATGTTAGATTTTTTTAACTAATTAAGCCACAAGTTGATGCATAAAGCAATAAAAGTATAAATGGATCATAACACATAGCAAAAAACTGCCCTATTTTAGCAAAGATAAAGAAGGAAATGGCGCGGTCTAGTGGTAGAACGCTTGCAAAAACGAAACTCATGAGTTGCTAACAAGCCATATTTGAGCTTGTAAATACAGAGAGGTAGCACAGGTGAAGTAGATTCAAGCTGAATTCATGAACTACCACATTAATGATATCTGAGTTGCAAAGCCACCCTTTTCCTTCTCCAATTCTTGCCCGGCATTCATCATAGCTGACTGCACTGATAGAACTAGAATTTGAGCACAATATACAGCACTTTCGATTAGCAAGTGCTCACTATCTCCTAACCTCACTTCCTACATATATCTACTATCTATCATAACAGCCTATACATTTACTCCTCAACCTCCAATACCTGCCAATACCACGGAGAGACTTTATAAAATATTGAATACCTTCCAACATGTACCCTACACTCCCCAGATCCCCACCCATTGCTGGCTCCATCAAATGCATCTATCCCCAGTGTTTCGTTGAGCAAAAAGCGGTGCGCGGCGTTCTGTATAGCGTAGGTGTCGTTCTCCATGCTTGGGATCGCACATCTGTAAATACAGGAAAGGTTGAAATAATTTAAGTATTGTTTCATGTGGTGATCTTTCTCGGTTCCTAAATCTGAGGCAAATTGGATGAAAGTTTGTATATTAACGTTTAAAATTTCATACAGTACTGCTGACAATGGGAAAGGGGGGGGGGGAGCTTAGCTAACAACACCCTTCAAGCTGTTGAATTAAAGCTCCTACATAATATATAGGGAGCGCTAGAATGTTAACCCGAAAGTCTCGAGTTCGTACCCAGGTTCAAGTGAGAAGAACGTCAGGGAAAGGCGGTTTAGCATAGTGCCGACCACACTCCCCATTCATGTGCTGAGGTCACGGAAATTGGTGAACTCTACTTCACTTGAACCATGGACCGCTAGGTTCGAAAATGGAACTTTACTTAAATTTAATTTTCATTATATATATATATATATATATATATATATATATATATATATATATATATATATATATATATATATATATATATATAGTGACACCTAATATTTGCAGAAGCGATCGAAGCAAGCGCTGCTATTTAAATGTTCATCAACGCAAGTCTACCCTAAATCATCCAATACACCAAGTTCATTTTTCATTTTCTTTTTTATTTAAAAAAAAAGACATCACTCGTCTAAATGGCCGGTGCTTTCTTTACTCTAGCTAGAGCAGGGATGGGATCTGGGATCTTCAAGATATGTGATGCGACTGTTAACGTTGGTATGTAATGATTCAACTGAATACCGCGCTAAATAAAATTAACAGTAGCATTCTGTTACTGTTATACTATCAGTATAATATCTACACCGCGCTAAATAAAATTAACAGTGGCATTCTGTTACTGTTATACTATCAGTATAATATCTACACCGCGCTAAATAAAATTAACAGTGGCATTCTGTTACTGTTATATTATCAGTATATCTGCACCTGCTGTATGGAGTGATCTTTTATACAATTTTATACTGCATGTGAGATCCTGATGAATAAATGGTTAGCGTAACTAATTAATAATTAAATCAACCGTTTAGGGTAGTGACTAATAAACGACATAAGTGCAATGCTGCATTAATTATTAACAACTAGAACAATTATGTATTTGTGAATAAAATGAAACTAAACAAGCTGAAGTAATTGATCTCCAGTGCGTTGTATGGTAAAAGTGTGTATGGGGGTGTGTGGGATGAAGGGGAGTGACCCAGCTTCGGGATATGGTACAGGTATGTGCGTGTGGGATGGGGGAAAGACCCAGCTGTGACGTATGATACAGGTGGGGGGTGTGACCCAGCTGTGACGTATGATATAGGTGGGGACGTGACCCAGCTGTGACGTATGATATAGGTGGGGACGTGACCCAGCTGTGACGTATGATATAGGTGGGGACGTGACCCAGCTGTAACGTATGATACAGGTGGGGTGTGTGACCTAGCTTTGACGTATGATACAGATGGGGGCTGTGACGTATGATACAGGTGGGGATGTGACGTATGCTACAGGTGGGGGGTATGACCCAGCTTCGTTGTATGGTACAGATGAGGGAGGGGGATGTGACCCAGCTGTGACATATGATACAAATGGGGGGTGTCACCTAGCTTTGACGTATAATACTGGTGGGGGGGGGGGGATGACCCAACTTCGTGTTTTGGTAAAGATGAGGGAGGGGGTGTGACCCAGCTTGCATATTATAGCGACCATAGCTTTTATTGAATAAAACAAATTGGTTTTATTTTCTTATTTTCTATGCATTTCGAAGCTTGTTATCATAAACTATAAAGTGTTGTTGTTTTTTTCAAATATGTGTTTTTACACCATAAGTTGCGTTTTGCTTAGCAGAAAACTGTTTTTTATCTGTATAGTATGAATTTTGGATCGCTGATCACACAAAAATATCGCCACTTAATATTAATGTCTGACTTAACCCATTTTAACTAACGTACTTAGCAAGACTCACTTCAATTAGCTAATCTGACATAAATAGATCACTCGGACTTATCATGTCATATTTCATTACTTCGTTAAATTAATTTATGTTCATTTATAATGTACAGTTTAACCGGGCATAATATAGAATACTACCAAACACATGGAATAGAAACGTATAGAAGTAATGGGTCACCGACCGACGGGGCGCCGGCTGATGCACCCGTTGAACCAAGTAGCACCCTTGACCCCCTGAGCAGGACGCCCAATCAACGTATCCAATATGTTCAGATAGCCGCTGGGGAACTCTGGGTGCACATAGCACCATATAGGGAGCTGCCGCTTTGGTAATTAATAATAGTTTTTCTCGCAACAACCTGCCCAGGTGTATGCTTAAAAACTATGTTACTTGGCAAAATTGGGGGAAAGGTCTAGTAGTTCATAAAAAAAAAACATATAGAGACACCAACTTTAGTTGATATAAAGATAAATATACATAGTATATATATATATATATATATATATATATATATATATATATATATATATATATATATATATATATATATATATATATATATATTTGTACATATATATATATGTACAAATATATATATATATATATATATATATATATATATATATATATATATATATATATATATATATATATTTATTTATTTATTTATTTATTTATTTATATAAATATATATATATATATATATATATATATATATATATATATATATATATATAATCGTCTGTGTTTTATGTTTTTCTAATATATTCAGGACCAGTTGTTGGGCTGACCAAGGACCTTCCGTTCATGAACCGTAAATCTATGGTATTTAAGCTGGAGAGCCCCGGATGTAGAGCTAATCTATGTGGGTTGTATTTTTTAAATCATGCAGTTGGTACCTGTGATCTGGCACTGCCAGGATGAAGACGGTGATGAAGTTCTGGATCCCCGCCACGACGGCCGGCAGACATGACAGGAAGAAGATCCGCCTCTGGTAAGGACCAAACTCTCCCAGCTCCTCCACTAGGTCGTCGTACTTCATGAGGGCAGGTCAAGGTCACGCGTGCTCAGTGACGTCAGGGGGTTATCGTTAATCAACCTTGTTCTTGATGAAATAAAAAATTATAATTATTGAGATGAAACAGCACAACATACAGCTTTTAACCAATGTCTTAAGATACACAAAAACATACGAGTACATTATGAAACAGAAGTTTTACAGTATTCCAATAATCGAATCACTAGCGGAGCTGTTATGAAACATATAGACCTATTTCTAAGCTAAGCTAATTGGTAATGCTAGTTATTAGATAACAGTATGATTTTTTTTATCTTTGTCTTAGCGCGAGTACTATGTTTGTAGTTAAATCTTGTAACTCAATTTCAACCCATTGATAATAGAGCTATTTATTTCGAACTTTCAGAGTATTACATTTTCTATCGAATTTTGTATTAGAACTTCCATTATAATTTAATTTGAAGATTTCTAGTTTCAATGAAAACGCGAGCGGTAACGAAGTAAACAACGAGCAGGTTATAGTTCTGTTTAGTGTGATGAAAAAAGTTTACTCACAACAGACTAAAAGAGGTAGATGATATTGGTTTAGAGTTAAACATCACAAGATACTGATCTGCTTTCAAAGCAAGCATTTCAGTAGTCAAGGATGAAGACTTAACTAAGAATAAAATCGGGATGGAAGGTTTAAATATAGTTCTAATTGATTTTAAAATTTAAATATCGACTTACTGGTACATCATTTTAAAATCCAATATACTAAAAAGCTGGAATTTAAAATTATTAAAATACACTTTTAAATAAATTAAAAATCAGATAATAAGAATAATTTTATTAAGATGCAAGAATAAAAACCAATCGCGCTTTGAAATATCCTTCACACATTTTAGAATTTGTACACACTTTATTAATAGTCCAACACATGTTTGTGCCTAGCTGTCTAAATTCAGCATAATTTACAACTAGTTTGAGCAGTAATTTTTTTCAAATACACAAACTCACCTTCTTTCATAACACCCGAGTACTGAGCGATGCTGTAAAACTGACCAAAGTTTCATCTGACAATTGACTTGACGCTTAAAGACCAAGGCGTTTGAATAAAAGCTGTCCCCTCAATCAATACTAACTTATGAACGGCTGCTCCGGACACGACATATTCAATTGACATTGCTCATATAGATCTACAGGTAGAATTTAGATAATTATAAGTCACAGGTGTTTAGTTTTGCCTCGTTGCAGTTGACTGACGACCAATATATATATATATATATATATATATATATATATATATATATATATATATATATATATATATATATATATATATATATATATATATATATATATATATATATATATTTATATGTATATGTATATATATATATATATATATGTATATATATATGTATATGTATATGTATATGTATATGTATATGTATATGTATATGTATATGTATATGTATATGTATATGTATATGTATATGTATATGTATATGTATATGTATATGTATATGTATATGTATATGTATATGTATATGTATATGTATATGTATATGTATATGTATATGTATATGTATATGTATATGTATATGTATATGTATATGTATATGTATATGTATATGTATATGTATATATGTCTGTGTGTATATCTATCTATCTATCTATATATATATATATATATATATATATATATATATATATATATATAAATATATATATATATATATATACATATTTATATATATATTTATATACATACATACATAATTATATATATATATAAAAATATATATATATATATATATATATATATATATATGGCATATATATATATATATATATATATATATATATATATATATATATATATATATATATTGCCATCTTGATGTTATGATTATATATATATATATATATATATATATATATATATATATATATATATATATATATATATATATATATATATATATATATATATATATATATATATATATATATTGCCATCTTGATGTTATGATTATATATATATATATATATATATATATATATATATATATATATATATATATATATAAACCATGGCTTAGTGCATTAAAAAGAAAGTAATATGTAGACCCTTGTGTGGTGAAACATTAAACCACCAGACAAAATGCAACGGTTCCAAAAATTTCTCTCACCGAGGCTCCTTTTAAAAACAAGAATGTCTTGACGCCTCCCAAATGGGGATTGTGGGTACAGATGACTGGTGTATTTTTCTTTTGTTGTCCAGAAACACATCATATATGGTAAATATTTTAGCCTATCAGCGATTTAAACAATCATATTTTTCCCCTCAAACACGTAATTTACAGCGTCAGTTTGCCTTGTCATGTTCGCTTTAGTATTAGTTTTCATCATCGGCTTGTGATGACTAATACAGTTTTTCAATAACCATAGTAATACTTCTTTTTGACATGTAGATCTACTTTCGTTCATTTAAGATGGTTTACTTAAGCATAAATCTAATACAAAACGTCTAATTACAATTTTATTTTTAACCTCAAAATGCTAATGTGTAATAATATGATCATTCATTTGATTTTTTTTTTATTGGACTGGAGGTTTGCGGGGGTCAGGGGTTAAAAGTAGAGCTGAAGTTCATTTAGGATTGAAAGTTTTTTTTTTTTTTTTTTTTTTTTTTTTTTTTTTTTTTTAATACTTTTATTTGCAATTAAAACAAGTACATCAACATCCAATTTTTTAACATTATTTTCAACACCAAATGAAAACGAAAGGTTTTGCAAATGTACATAATGAATATTTACATGATGTCATGTATTTGATTATAAAAAAAAATTGCAAAGGATGACAGTAAAAGGGGTGAAGGTCAAATGAAAGTGTCAGAAGTCTGGGTGGGGAGAGGAAAGGAAATTTTTCAGAGAGGGTCAATGGGACAGTGAAGCATTTTCTATGTAGGGAAACAACTTAAGTTGACTAGTTGAAAGGGTGTTGTAGTGGTCGCATTGAGTTTTCAAAAGGTTGCAGTGTGAAAGATGAGGGGAAAGAGACAAGATTTAGAACTTTAAATAAGTTCTGGATATTGATGTTGCGGTGGGTGGTGGGGTCGTTGGAACAGTTAAAGCGATTGTGGGGTTATCATGTCTGGGGGTAAAGTGGATAGAGGGGGAGAGAGGAGGGGGTAGATTTTTTTTTATTTTTATTAATTCAATTGTTTTAAACATTTAAATCAGTAATAATAATATATTTGATAGATTTTACATAGCATCAAAGACATGAACAATGAACATCAATTGCATATATACTATTCAAAGGGAAAAAATAAAATGGCATAAGAACTAGATTAAAATAAGGTGTGCAAACTAGGTTTCTCTTCACTGCTTAGTTTAGTGTGCTGCGGAGTCAAAAGTTCACACTGTAGCCACCCATGGACAGAAATAGAAACGACTGTGGAAGAAGGGTCTCTGTAATCACGTACTGATCTATCATTCCAAAATTTTCCATGACATAAAATTGACCCTTGGCAATGAGGGCACGCTACCTTGAAATGTCCGCCAGTCCGGTTGAGTGGGGGGGGGGGGGGAGTGTGTGTGTGTGTGTTTGGGGAGGGGGGTTGAGGTGGGTATCTCTTTCTACCATTCAGGTTGTGCATTTTAAAACCCAGGAAACAGAAGACTGTTCTAATGTTAATTTACTTGGGGGCTGATCGAGTGATGTTTGGCTTGAGACTGTCTAAATTAAAATTAATACTTTATTTATTTCTTTCCGGTATATTTCTTTTTTTTTTCTCAGTTAAGTGAGAGTTCCCAGTCTATGTCTTAGCTTTGCTTGAAATATTTCTTTTAACTCGATGTCCGTGTATTTTGTGAAAAAATATCTGACTTTATTCCTAATTTGCCATATAGTCGATCTATAAATAAATAGGATTGAAAGTTTTTATGGTTAGAAATTTCAAAATTCAGTTAGCCATTACAACGATAAAAATCGATTGGTGCTTTCTAACAATAAAGAATTCAATACTGCTAACTCTTTTATTTTTAAATTTAACTAGAATAAAACTTATAGTTTAAAAATTGATAACACTACAACTTAAACACATATTTTTAAAAATATTTTAAGATTAATAGTTATTGACAACTTCAACTACTTTTTTACTATACTGAATTTTTGTGAATTTAAACGACTTTGGGAAAAATAATCACTGCTTGTTTCCCTTAGTTAAATTTAATAATGGAAAGTTGCTACAAAAAGCTATTTTTGGAGTCGATTTGGTTTATTAAACCTCTCCCAATATAAACATTACACATTTTGCAGGAGAGACTGCCGGTTATAGAATTGTTTCATAAAAAAAGTCATTCAATAGCATTAATCCTTATCAAACGCGAAACACAGGATTTTTAAAAAAAATCTTTATTTGTTACAAAAGACTCGATTCTGTCTTTTCTGATTTTATTTCTATCTCAAGTCCAACTTTTTTCCTGAAAGATAAAAAAAATAAGTTCCATGAGATTTAAGTTACAGAATCGAGTGCATGGCTTGCAGTAATACGTCATAGTACTCCTGGGGAAGTGTGACATGAAAGTGCCTAAGTGGAAAGAGGGGGGGGGGTGAGTTCAGAAAAGTGCACCGTCACTGTTTCGTAGTTTTAAAAGCAGTTTTCAAAATTACCGTTATTTCAGATTTTTTTCAATTACATTTTATAACAATAATAAAAACTGATCAATATATTAGCGTAGCTTAAATTTTGGCGGGAAAAAATTGTTGTATTAAAAAATAAATATTTTAAGTTGGACGGGATGGGATGAAGGTTGGGGAGGGGGGAACTTTTTAAATTTTATGAGGTTTTTTAACTTTTTAAAAATTTAAGAGGTTTTTGAACTTATTTTCTGATAATATGTCACATGTACAACTTGCATGCCGAAGGCAAAAATGTCCAAATACAGTGTCAAACCTACCCGCCAAAGTCTAGACACAATGCCACACCTACCCGCCAAAGTCTAGACACAGAGCCACACCTACCCGCCATAGTCTAGAAACTTAATGCCACACCTAACCG